CTGGAGCCAGCCTCAGCCCCCAGGGCCTGTGTTTTAGGAGGTTAAAGTAGAGCAGCTGAAGGAAGCAGCCTAGATGGAGGACACAGCTTTCTTTCCTTTCCACTTAGCTGGAGGCTGCCTGGCTCCTCCAGACCTTTCCTCTGTGCCCTCTCCAGCCTTCCTTCCCAGCACGCCTCTACGCTTACAAAGATGCCAACAGTCAAAGGGCTTTCCATCCCGGTGAGGTTTGGAAAGGCTGGGAGCTGAGGTTAGTGGAGACTGAGACAGGGGTCACCTTTCTCCTCCAGCAGGGTCTTTGGGACCTTGCCCGGCTCGCCTTGGCGAAGCTGCAGGGCTAAGGCTGAAAAGGCTCTGCTTATTCAGATCACAAGAATCCTGGTTTGGAGATGAAAAGCAGGGCTAGCTCTGGCCTGCTCTTATCTCTGGGGCTTAACACCTATGTCTGAACCCAGATCCCTGGCTGGCTGACGCCAGTCTTCTGGTGTCTTACTACACACACAGCCTGGCGCCCTGAGTGCTTTCAGAGTGCAGCCGCCTGGGGCAACATTAGTCTCTTTCCTGGCCAGGTCAACCCTCAGGCCTCCCATGAACATACCTGCCTTTCTCTTTGCTCAGCTTTGCCCCGACTCAGATGCACACTGATACACAGACCATCAAGAGAGACTGGGGCTAAGACTCTATGGTCTAGCCTGTCCCCAGCCATCAGCCACCAGTGATGAAGGCATATCTCAGGTGTTTTCAGCTCAGGGAGCCTTGGCCACAGGGCCACGCCTGGTGACTAAGAGCCTCAGCTACTACTGCGGAGAGACCTGAGGCCCAAGAGAACTCAGATGCTTCTGGGTACCCATAGCCTTTATACAGTGATAGTGGGGGCCAGTACTAGGAAGGGGCACTATTTAGGGAGACAGATGGACCGTCAGAGTTCTGCTTTAAGCGTCCACTCAAAAACCTGGCAAAGAGCCCCTGGGAATTCGGTTCTCAACAGCAGGCCAGTGTGGTACCAACCCCACTACATAGGGACCTGGAGGCAGACCAGACAGCTGAAGCCCTGGCGGGCCCATGGGAGAGGGGTGTGTGGTGACGGGAGAGGGGTACATCGGAAATGCAGAGGAAGGAGAATAAAAGCAGGGGTGTGACAGGGAGGGAGAGAAGCTGGGGAGGGGAGGAGCTCTCAGAAGGAGGCCTGTCTTGTCTCGTGGCCACATGGTCTCTAGCCTCTCTGCTAGAGTTGACCAAATGTGTCTGTGTAGGCATGTGTGCATGTGTGTGGTGGGGGTGGGGCACTGGGGTTCAGAGCAGAGCCCCACATCTCCTATAGCATGTTCGAAGTGCTGAAGAGCAACATCCAGTTGGTGGGTAGGGTCTGGTCAGGAGAAACACTGATCTGTGTAGGGGCTGGAGCCTACCCTCCCACACAGGGAGTCTTGTACCGTCAGGGTTGCAGTACCCCACTGCCAGGAAACTCACACCATCTGAATCTCCCTAAGTCTCAGCCTCCAAGGATAAGAGAGAGAGAAGGACCCATGCCACACCCCTCAATCCTTAGTGGCCTTCCCAGCACCCAGCATATTAAAGGAACTCTTCAGTCACAGGAGACTATGAGGGAACAGAAAAGGCAGTAGGGAACCGGCTCACACTTCCCGCTGAAGCGTTGATGGCTGGCTAAAGCTTCAGTTCCCCACAGAGTCATAAGGACAAAGAGGGTTGTAGGAGGGACATTGCTCTGACCCTAGCACTGTCACAGAGAGCTGAATAACCTGAGAAAGTCACTTGCATTTGCAGACCACGAGGGGACAGCGTGCTCTAGTGGTGTCATGGGGTGTGTAAGGCTCTCAGGAGAGCACCTGACACACCTGGCACCTTCGGCAGGCTAGGGACCTGAGCAGATGTCTCGCCCAGAGAGAAGCAGAAGTGATTTCTAGCACCAGGTTCTGAGCCTTGGCAGATGCCATTTAAGGCTGACTCAAGAGTTGGGCAGCATAGAGACATATCTTTGGGGATGAAGAAGCCCGGGCCCTGTGCATGACTTTGTGGTGTGGGTCTTAACTGGAGGAGGCAGGCTAGAAGGACTCTCATAAACTGGACATGTGTGTCCCGGCCCACACAGTCCTGAAGAGGAGACACTCCGTGGGAACCAGGCGCTCAGCAGCTGGTGCCGACCCTCCAGCCTCTTCAAGTCCAGCTACCAGGCCTGGAGGCCCCTGGCAGACGGGGTACTTTCTGAGCCAGCCTCCAGCCTTATGAGATAGCACAGAGCCGCAGACCACGGGAGAGATGCTATGTTCTGAACACTGCTGACCGGTGGGGACTGGAGCCACATCTGGTTCTCATTGAAATGTCCAAGTGTAATTAAATGCTCTACAACGCGGCGGAAGGGTTCGGTAAGAGGTGTTTACCCCTTTCCAGCAGGGCTAAGAAATCAGTTTCTTGTTCCACCAGCGGACCAGCCCTCTTTCCTGTGGCTGGCCTGCCCTAGTCTGAGAGGGCAAAGACCTACCCAACCCCCATCTGTTTGCCTTTATTCTTCCTTCTTTCCCTCTCTGTTTCCTTCCTTCACTCCCTCCTTTCCTCCTGTTGCCACAGGTTCTCATTGTGTTCTCCAGGCTAGTCTTGAACGCCTGTTTGAGAGCTCTTTCCACCTCAGCCTCTTGAGTAGCTTGAACTACAGGTTGAACTACAGGTGTGTGCCCTTATGAACCACAGGTTGAGCTACAGGTATGTGCTCCTCTTGTCTACTTTCTAGAACACACGGGCTGGGGCCAGCACTGGGTATGTGATACACAGGGTACTCTCCTCCTCCCCCTATGCTGTCTACCCACTAGAGAGGACTACACTGAAGGCCTGTGACTACACAAGTCCACACTGGGGGCTGGTGGGCAGGGGAGGTGACTGTCACCATTCGTCCTGTGAGGCTCTTCCCCAGCCCTGAGGAGGAAGACTGGCTTACTTCAGTGACGCCTGTCTCCTTCCACTGGGAGATACGGGGTGTCCTCTCATACTGCACCAAGGGAATCCCTTCTTTGTAGCCCCGTATGACAGGCAGTGCTTGGGAGCGCTGACTCTGGAGGTGCTGTGACAAGAGGTCCTGCCACCCTGTACAGTGGCCCTAAGGCCCAGGGCAGGGTGAGGCAGGTCCTTGCAGGCACTTCCTACTCCTCACTGGGTGATCTCAGTCAGCACCACTGCATGGGGGTGCCCCTACCCAGCTCTTCCCGGCTCATACACAAAGGAGGCATCAGTCTACCAGATGAGAGCAAGAGCGAGGTCTGGGCCATGAAAGGAATGCCTCGGGCCTTCATCTAAGAGCTCGGAACAGCAGGGACAGCAGGATCTGAGGAAGATTGCCCTGTTCAATACCACACCCCCAGGGCATCTTCCTTCCCAGGCTCCCGCTTGGGACCTCCCCACAGCCAAGCAGAGGGCTCCCGGGATAGCTGCTCCCCCAGCTTCCCTTCCCACCCAAGCATCTTCAGTTTATGGCGTCTTTTTACTCAGAGATTTATGACTTTCATGGTAATGGGTTCCATTCTATTTCCTCTGTGCCGATATTTCTAATCATTATGGTGTGGCTTTATGAGCATTTCTTAATAAGTGGAGGTATTTTTTTTTCCCTTTGAAACAAACTGCCCTGTGAGTTAATGACTTGTTGTGGGTGTGGGTGTGACCCAGAGACAAGTGGAAGTTGGGGACGGGATGACAAGGGTTGGGGCTGTACAGAATCTTTTAGATTTAAACAAAGCTGTGCTGAGGTCCCTTTAAGACTCTTGGTTCGCGCCCATATTAAAGGCTCACTAACTGCTCACAGGCAACTTCAACCGTGCACAGACACGTGTGGCATCTGGGGGCTGGTCAGCGCTCACCCGGAGGATGGGAAGGAACTTACCAGTCCTGGTCTTTTTGTATGTGTTGCCAAACGTAAGCTAGACCTTGATAGGCAATTTAATTCTTTGGTGGCATTGAGGATAGGACCCCGTGCTTGGTAGCCTCTCCACTGATGAGTAAAGTTTTAAGGAAACTGACCCAACTCCCTGTCCAGTGGTCCCACGCTAAGTCTGACAAAAGAGATTCATCAGGATGAGGCCTCTGTGGCCCCCCTCATGGTCTCAACCTGCACTGCAAAGCCTGTGCGTCTGCGCCATGGCGGGTGTGTGTGTGTGTGGGGTCGTCTTACTTAACTACAGGGGTGCCACCCTTCACTGACTGTGGCCCAGGCTGGGCTGATGTGCTCTGCCTTTGTGCTGGTCTCAGACAGGCTGCTGGTGCCGGGCCCTATTCATTATTCAATTCTGCTGGCTCGGATGAGCCTCGCCATGCCATTTGCTCCTCCAGGAGGATGACAAATCTAGAAATGCCAGTCCACTTCGGTGTATTAAGATATTGATTTGCCCGTCGAGCAGAAGTGCGTCTGTTCTGCCAGCCTTCCCGTGGGTAGGAAGGGGTTAACCAAATGTTTATCACAAGGCTGGCTTCAGAGTTGAAAGTAATGTGATCAGTAATGAATTTTGTGTTACATTAGGTTGTATAAATGGACAGACAAGCGCAGACAACAAGTGGCCAGGAGTCGGGGCTAATCTAATGATGTAAAAATAGAGACAGCACCAATTATACTAGGGGCCAGCTCCAGGCTCCTGCAGGGACTGCAAATGAATAGGTACAAATCAAATTACTCACTAATAGACGCACTACAAGAGGGGCAGTCAATGGTAAATGCATTAGAGCCCAGTGACCTCTCTGCTCTGCACACAGAGTCCCAAAATTTGACTTCCATCTTCAGAGTGGGGGGCAGGGAGTGGCGCTCTCAAAGAAACTCTTGTTGGGTGAAACATGGCCACTGCTCCCTATCCCAAAGCAGTCCCCTGCAGAAGAGACCTCCTGTCCTGGCTGACCTCCAGTGTTTCCTGAAGCCTGAGCTCCAGGGGAGGGGAGACACCCATGTGAGGGGCATAAAGAGCGGTAGGACCAAGCCTTCCGGACAGTACGGCAGACAGGAGGTTACATACCCAAACACTTCATAGTCATGTGTCTCCCGGGGGTGCTGTTTTTGACTGCTACGTCAAGGGCTGTGTCTGCATTGGAAATAAAATAGTTCTTTAAAGTCGATCACACAATGAATGGACCTCCTAAGAGTCAACAAGAGCCGAGATCAAACTGAGGAGATAGCAAGATCTGGTCTGACCACTGATGGCTTTGCAGGGCAGAATTCCATGGTCTGTTCCAAGGTCCAGCACATCTCGCTTTCTCATTAGCCAAAGCTAGCGATCGCCATCCCTTCCTTCTTCCTCCTCAGTCTCCCACGGACTGAGTTCCTCTATTCCTGCTTGCTTCAGGTGGTAGGGAGGGAAGGCTGAGGATGTAGGCCCAGGCTTTTGGGTAACTCCTTATATATTCATCCATGTTCAAAGCTGCTTGACACTGTGCTGTGCTTCTTTGGGAGGGCTTGTGGTCTCATGCTCAGAGGTAACCCTGGATCCCCATAGTCAGCTCTTGTGGGCTTGGGGAAGTATGAAGTATGAAACCAAAGAAGCTCTAAGTCTTCCAAGGACTGGTCCAAGCTCCATGGAGGTGTGGTCGCACAGCCTTGATTCACATTCCCCCAAGCACCCTAAAGCCAGCACCACACACTCGCACACATGACTGGCGATGCCATGCTGCTCATGGCCAGCTGGCACCTGGAGACACAGGGAATGTGCCAGTATGATGGGCACGGAGGAGGTGAGGGTAAGGAATGGAGAGAGGCATCCCGAGTAAATGAAGTGCCTAGAAGGAGAGTCTCCCCAGACTTGATTAAGTGCAGAGGGGTGAACTGCAAGCTCCTGAGCTACAGGAACAAGACGCGTGTAGGGGATGGGGACAGGGAGAGCTATGAAAACTAGAGGATTCAGCCAGCAGACCTAAAGTTGTCTCAGGTAGTGGGGCCTTCAGGTTCCCCAGGCCAGAGGGAGTGCAGGAAGAACAGGCAGCAAGAAGCTGGAGCCCTGTCTGCTGGATTTACTCTGGGCAATCCAAAATGTCTCATACTTAATGCAATCAATGGTCATCTCTGCCCTTCCTTTTCCGCGGATGTACCTGTTTCCTAGCCTATGGTCCCTTGCCATCTGAGAAGCTGCAGCAGAAGGGAAGGGGAGCACTTATCCCCTATGGTGGCGCTCTACCTTACTGGGACCTCACAGTGATTAAAGGTGAAGGCCCTGCAGACGAGGAGGGACCAAGAAGAATCCTCCCTTGGGTTAACCATTTACCCGCTGTAATGATACGGGGGGGGGCTGGCAATGGTCCTGCAGCCCTCCACCCTGTGCCCAAGCCTGCACATGCTCCGCAGTCCCTTTCCTTGGGGCGACATGTGGAAAGGGTACGCCAAAGAGGCCACACTGGCACTTCCTCTTTGTTGACAAGAATCAGCATGCCATGCCATGGGCAAACAGGACATGTGCAGAGAAAACTTATTAGCTTGGACTCTCGCTGGGGTTCCTCTGGCTGCAGTTCCAGAGGGGACAGAAGAGAGGGGCAGAAAAAGCAACCTCACTGGAATCATTTCTAAGACTTGGCCTGGAACTAACAAGTGTGTCTTTTAAGCAAGATAATTATTCCCATGGCTTTGGCTGCCTTTCATTTACCTCTCAGAGGCCACAAAAACCCAATCAGTCATTCAACAAACATTAACTGAAGCTCAGCCTGGCGTTCATTCCAAGGCTGCATGCTGGGCAAGGAGAACTGGCGGTTAAAGGTAACAAAGGTGAATCAGATTGGGTCCAAGGAACAAGAACTGGGTCAAGATGCACTCATGGCACTATGGATAAGGGAGGAGTAGGAGGCCCCAAAGAGCTGGTCTTTCCCCAGGTGGCATGGAGAAGGACATCAGTCAGAGCTCGTTAATGAAAAGTCAATAAACACCCTTTCCCAGGGCCAAGTACCCTGAATGCAGCTTGTACGGAGAGGCTTTCAGGGAGCACACATGGGCAAGGGGGTGAGCTGGAGGAGGAGACTATAGGTTTTGTCTGAAGAAATGACTGTACAGAAGGTGTGATCTACTTCAGCGTGGACCAATGTGCTGGGGAGCTGCAATCATATGTTTACAGGGATGCTGGGGGAGACTGAAGTGGAATGGGACGGTGGGTCAGGCAGGAGGAGGAGGCAGGGAAGGCCTGTAAGACATTTAAACTCCATGGCAAGAGCCTGGGTTGGGCTATGGAGATAGTTGGCATGTTCTAAGGAGGGAAGTGACCTCAGCCTCCCTGAGAATAGGGTTCCCATCCTTTACTGGGGTCCTCTTTTTGAATAAAAAAATGGGTCACATTCCAAATAGGTGAGACTGGTAAGATTGTCAGAACTAGACACTCTTATTTTAGAAATAACATTTTCCTTGGTGATGTTGGAGATTGAACTCAGAACCCTGTGCATGGTAGATCAGCACTCTACCAGTGAGCCATGTACCCAGTTATTTAAAATACTTTCTCTCTCTCTCTCTCTCTCTCTCTCTCTCTCTCTCTGTCTCTGTCTCTGTCTCTTTCTCGACAGGATTTCTTTGTCCAGGTTGTCCTGGAACTTGATTTATAGACCAGTCTGGCCTTGAACTCACAGAGATCCACCTGCCTCTGCCTCCTGAGTGCTGGGCTTTGGAAGCTGAAGAGAGGAATATCTAATAGCTTAGCATAATTGTGATGACAGGACATTTGCATAGCGGATACTTAAGCCCGCCCACCCTGCTCTGAGTGATGGGGATGATACAGACCACAGAGTATAGTGTCCAGGGTCTGTTCACCATGAGGATGGGAAGCAAGTGCTCCCAGTATTTCCTGTTTCACTCCTAAGAGATGAGAAAATTAAACCCAGAGGGAGAAAAAGGCCCAGGGCCAAATGCTTTCTTCCATGTCTTGAATCTAAATCTCACCAGAAGAGAAATAGTGTTTTTCCTAGTAGCAGCAGCAGGCTTAGGCACTGAAGGGACTCTCAAGACTTGGCCTTTGCTCCTGGCGGAAAATAGCTAGAAACAGGCGCTAGGAGGCTGGGCTAAGACACAAATAGCAGCCACCCACAATCCCACAGCTGTCCTTCCTCAGCGTGCAGGGCAGTTTAGGTCTGTATGGAGGCTCTGGTCTCTGGGAGCTGTGCCTGTCTCTCACCCTTAGCAGTCTGGACACCTGGGGCTGGAAAGCACTGCTCTGCTAAGTGTCCCATGAAGGCTTACATTTGCATAGCTGGTCCCCAGCTGGTGGTGCTATTTTGGGAGGTGGGTCCTGGCTGCAGAAAGTAGTTCATTCTGCTTTTCTGCCCTCTATGAGGTCAAGAAGCTTTTCAACCATACACTCTGGCCACCAATATGTTCTGCCCAAGCAACCATGGATTGACCCCTCCGAAATCATGAGCCAAAATTAATCCCTCCCCCCCTTTTTAAAGTTCTCCTGTATCTCTCAGAACACTAACACAGTGTGATGGCTAATTTTATAAACGGACAGTTTTAAAGCCGCCTAGATTCCCTCTGGCATGTCTATCAGGGCATTTTCAGGTAGGCTGAATGGAGAAGGGAAGTTTCTCATGGTCTGGGGTTCCAGACTGAATAAAAAGGGGAAGCAAGCTGAGCATCAGCCTCTACCTCTCTCTCTGCTTCCTGATTATGGATGTAGTGTGACCAGCTGCCCAATGTTCACGCCACTGCGCCTTGCCACCATGACAGATGGCATTCCTGCCTTAACTAGGAGCTCCTTGCCATGAGCTGCTTCTGTCAGCTATTCTGTCAGCAATGAGAAGAGTGACTAATGCAGGCGACATTCTAGAAGACCATGCCCTGGGCTGGGGCAAGAAGCCTGAGTTCTGTTTGCTTTAATCACTAATAGGTCCTGGTGGGAGCTGGGGACAGGAGCCAGAGAGAAACAGACCACAGCTCAATGCCACCACCTCCCCCAGGGCTTCTCTCAATTCCAAGATCGGAATAGTGGCTTACCTCTTTCCCCCTAGTCTGGTGAGGGATGTGATAGATGGGAGAGAGCCAGCCTGAGAGCCAGCCTGCCATTGTGACCATAGAGAGGGTATGTGGGGCCATCAAAGAGGTCATTGAGAGAAGACACTGAAAGAATTCTTGTTTTGTGAATGCTATAGAAGGAAAAACCCAGGGTCCCTACAGACAAAGCAGAGAAGGTCCAGACACCTGGCTAAATTACCTTGATGATGGTGGCATTTTCCAGGGAACCTGTTAGTGAGGGGAAACAAGCATCTCTGAGATGGAGATGCTCAGAGTCTTTGGAGAAAGAGCGAGACCCAGCCTAGAGAACTGGTTTGGATGGATCACACTTGTCCATGTGGAGAAGGAAGGCCAGAAGGATGAAGAGATGGACAAGGAAAGTAAGGAAAGACTGTGAGGACTTTGGGAATCTGCTACACTGGGTGTCATTGGGAGGTGGGATATTATCATTCTCAAGAGACCAAAAAGAAGGCTGGAGAGACTCAGTGGCTGAAGGCACCTGCCGACAAGGATTGGACAACCTGAGATCTGGGTTCAATCCCTGGAACCCGGATGGTGGAAAGAGAGAACCAACTTCTGCAAGTTGTCTACTGCCCTCTACATGCACACCACTCATTAAATAAAGAAAATAAATTAACGTAAGAAGTTTTTAACGAAGAAGATGATGATGGGAACCTTGGGAAAGGCCAATAGCACTAAAATTCAGAGGGGTGGAAGATGGAGGAGCCAGGAAGGTCATGTCAGACCTCAGAGCAGCTGGCCGGCATGGTAGTGCACGTGGCCTGTGGGGTGATGAGCCGTCCTAGCCTTGGAAAGGGCACAGCCTTCACTCAGACACATCTCAGTGTCTCTCTTATTTTTCTTACATGCTTATGTGTGTGTGGTATGCATGCGTGCACGGCTGTATGTGTGTAGGCACATGCGACACATGCCCATGGAGGCCCAAGATAGATGTCAGGCGTCTTCCCTAAATTACTATTTATTCTTTGAAGCAGGGTCTCAATATGACTAGTCTTGCTAGCAAGCTTGCTTCTGGGTTCCCTTGTCTATGCTCCTTCCCGGTGCTGGAATTATGGGTAGCCTACCATGACCACCTAGCATTTACATGGG